ATATGTAATACAGTCTCTAACTAGTCAGTTTTTTTATGGCTCTTGCCAGCTTAGTTGAGGGATTTCACTTTGTAACTACTTTGTCAAATCAATTCTGTCCTTCTGGTTCTGTGCAGTGTAACAGTATGACATCCAAAGCTTATTCAGATGAGCAGAGAGCAAATGAATTTCCTTCTGCTCCTCTGTTGAAGGAAAGAGAAAATTCTTCCACCTCTGAATGCTGAGCGCATCGTACTATTCTTTATGGTAGATACATCTCAGCATTGTGAGTTCCTGAGGGTGCAGAGCCAGGGCAAATCCCACTGGTCCTTTTCATATTTGCACAAAGGTTAGATCAGGCTAGTAGGTCTAGCTCTGCCCTACATCCTGCCCCGAGAGGGTGGGAGGCTTCCAAACATCTAAGTGACATAAGCTGTGTACCTGGGGCCTGCAGTCTCTGGGAACTGGCCTTGGTGACGGGGGTGGGAGTGTTTATGGATGCATTTTAAGCCAGAGACCCACCCTTCAGGCTACTTCTCAGTTCTTCCTGACCACGAAGTTTAGCACAGAAAAATCACAAAGCGATCACCCCATTTCCGTCAAGAAGGAGGGACCATTCTTGGCCTGTGCCAGCTTCATGGGCCTGCGTCCTATACAGTCACGGAGAGCCCCGGGCTATGAAAGCGTCACACTTGGTATAAATGCTGTACTGTCTTAATCTCGAAATTCTTTATTCTTTGTGGACAAGGTGCTCCATTAATTTTTGCATATACATATTTTTATACAAAGCCACAAAGCATCTTTGTTTGTTTTTTGGAGTTTTTTAAATGTGAATTTTAAAAATTAATTTATTTTAATTGGAGGATAATTACAGTATTGTGATGTTTCCTGCCATACATCAACATGAATCAACCATAGGTATACATGTGTCCCTCCATCCTGAACCGCCCTCCTACCTCCCTCCTCACCCTATCCCTCTGGGTTGTCCCAGAGCACCAACTTGGAGCGCCCTGCACAAAGCATTTTTAACACAAGAAAGCAGCTGTTTCCTTATCTTGCTGCTCTATTACCAACAATAAATGAATCAAAGGAATTTAGGGCTGGAAACAATTAGGCTGCGATTAAATTGAGCCTAGTTTTTAACAGAGATCAAATTTAAATGCACTGTAATATTGCACTTCCAGGGTACACTTCCAGAATATCACTGCTTTCTTCTTTCCATCTGGGTTGATTAGAATATTTAGAGAAAGCAAAGTAATAGTATAGATAGTAAAGATAGTATAGATAGTAAAGTATCTAGTATAGATAGTATAGTATAGATAGTAAAGATAGCTAGACACTTCAAAGCAAACATACAGAGTGGATCCATGGAGGTCACTATGGGGTTTTTTATTTTTTTAAGTGAGAAAAGCTGGGTGCAACCAAGGTATTGAATAATAGCCGATCTGTTAATACCGAGGGATGGTGCCAGGCTTACACAAGTGTGAAGATGGAGAGGTTTGACAGCATCTCTGAGGTTCATCCTGTTATGTTTGTACTCCTTCTTCCTCGTCTAAAATTGATTTGATTTCTGGAAAGCTTAACTAGAAATTCTTTTTCTCCCTCTGCCCCTTGATTTGAGCCATAAGTCTATATCCCATCTCTGCCTGGCTTTGTTCTCAGTTGACTTTCATGGTTAGACAGCTATCTGATAATTAACCCCTGCTGTACTCTTAGCTGGTAGTAACTTAAGGTGTGACTGCTCCTTGGGGTACTCTGTATTTTAATATTTAATACCACACAGCCTTATAGGCACAAAGAAATGAATTTCTCCCAGAGCTATTGTGAAGCCTGCTGACAAGCCAGCGAGTGCTTCCTGAAGGCCTTCACCAGGCAGACAGGTGCCACTGTGTCTGCTCGTAAGCACTGCCCGTGTGTGGCCGGGAGACAGAGGAGCCTCCCGACTATCCGTTTAGCTCATGCCAAGCTCAGTGGCTCATCCAGACGCATCCGACCATATCGCACTGTCCCATTTACGGCAGATGCACATACAAGAAAGCAATGTGCTTTACACAACCCCACGGCTTCTTCCCTCTCCTCCCCGTGACTTTGCTTCCTTGCTCACTGAGAAAACAGAAGTAACTGTGAGAGGACTTCCATACGCTCCCATCACCTCTCTCCCCTGCCAGCAACCACACTCCGACAGGCTGTGCCTTCTCATCTAATGGGTGTCTGTGCTTAGTCGGCCTTGACTCATCTGCTCAAGGTCATCACTCTTGCTGTTCACCCTTCTCTTCTGGATCATTCCCAGCCTCGTGCCTAATATGCTGTTATTTTTCTTTCTTCTTTTAAATTTGTTAATTTATTTATTTAGGTCATGCTCGGTCTTTGCTGCTGTGTGGGCTTTGTACGGTTGCTGGGAGCACAGGCCGCTCTGGAGAGATGCAGTGCGGACTTCTCATTGCAGTGCCTTCTCTTGTTGGGGAGCACAGGCTCTAGGGTGCTTGGGCTCAGTAGTTGTGGCACACAGGCTTAGTCGCTCCAAGGTGTGTGGACTCTTCCTGGACCAGGAATTGAACCTGTGTCCCCTGCCTTGGCAGGCCCATTCCTGTCGACTCTACCATCAGGGAAGTCCCATTGTTTCTTTCTCAGTTAAAAAAAATATACAATAAAAACATCCTCTTTTCTTGACCCCACTTCCAGCTCAGGCTACCAGCCATTTCTATTTCCCTTCACATCAAAACTTGGTAAACGTTATTATACTTGCTCTTCTGATTTCCTGCCTCTCGTTTTCTCTCCGCCTACTTCAGTCAAGATTTTGTCCCCAGTTTACTCCACTAAAACGGCTCCTGTCAGGCTCACCATGCTGCTCAGCCCCGTTACTCATTCTCAGACTTCCTATTACCTGTCAGCCACATTTGAGGCAGTTCACCGCTCCCTTCTCCTTGAAACACTTTTCTTCTCTTGACATCCAGGACTGCATGCTCATGGTTTCCTTCCTTCCTCACCAGCTGCTTCTTCTTGAATCCTTTGCCAACTCTTCCCCTGCTGCCCCATCCTCTTAACAATGGAGAGTCCCAAGGAAAAGTCCCCAGACCTTTTCTTCTTCTGAACCTATGTTCACTCCCTTGACTATCTCATCTAGTCCCACAGTTTTAAATATCATCTACATGTGAAAAACAACAACAACAAACAACTAATCCCTGGTAGCTCAGATGGTAAAAAATCTGCCTGCAGCGCAGGAAACTCTGGTTCCATCCCTGGGTCTGGAAGATCCCCTGGAGAAGGAAATGGCAACCCACCCTTGTATTCTTGCTTAGCGAATTCCATGGACAGACCCTAAGGTCACAAAGAGTCAGACACGACTGAGTGATTAACACACACATGTGAAATACTCCCAAATCTTTATCTCCAGCCTAGACCTTTCTCTGGTACTCGAGACTCCTCCAGCTGTCCATTCTACTTCAGTCTAATAAGCATCTCTCACTGAACCCTGATCTCCCCTTCCAAGAGCAGTCCTGTCTCCTCCAGCCTTCTTAGCAGACTGACAGAGGTGATTCTATTAAAGTGTAGGGCAGATCACATCACTCTTCTATTTAAAACTCTCCAGTAGCTTCTGGTCATTCTCAGAATAAAAGTCAAAATTCTTACCATGAGTTAATTAGGCCCCACAATTGACCTCTGGGCCCTCTCCCGTGCAGTCTTTCTGCTCCAGCCACACCAGTGTCCTAGCTCCACCTGCTCTTGCCTAAAGACCTCATGTGCTCGCCTTCAGCCCAGACTGCTGTTTCCCCAAATAGCCACATGCATCATTTGTTTGCCTCCATCAGGTCTTTGCTCAAACATCACCTTTCTCTCTCGGGCCTTCCTTGACTCCTATTAAAATTGCAGTGCCCCTTCCCAGCCACCTTCTCTGGTTTATCTTTCTCTACAGTACTACCTCTTTCTGTCTGTAGGTGCTTCTGATTTATCTTCTGTCTCCTTCACCTCCAGAATGTGAGCTCTGTGAGTGACAGGACCTCTGTTACCTGAAATCTTCCCAGTGTCCAGGTCAGTACCTGGAGCCACAGCATGTTAATTGCTCAGTCGTGTCCAGCTCTTTGCGATACCATGGACTGTAGCCCACCAGGCTCTTCTGTCCATTTTCCAGGCAAGAATGCTGGAGTGGGCTGCCATTCCCTTCTCTGGGGAATCTTCCCAACCCAGGGATCAAACCTGGGTCTGCTGCACTGAAGGCAGATTCTTTACCATCTGAGCTACCAGGGAAGTCCCCGGTAGGTACTCAATATACACTTGCTAGCTGTAGGATGCTGTATCTCTACCAAAGAACACGGCTTGCATGTGAACTCCAGAAAACCAGTTTTCCAGATAGGGATCAGATCCGTCTCTTTACAGAGCTGAAGGAATGGCTAGAAGGTAGACCACCTGCCTGCCCCTCGTGGTGGGTAGAGCTTTCAGTAGGAGTCCCTCACCATCCAGTCAGACCACACCTCTTGCCCTTAGAACTGAACCTGTAAAATTGAGATGCTGTGCTACATTTTTACTATTGATTCACAAGTATTCTTTTTACTCAGTAATTAGTATGCAGCTTTTCATGAAATGCCTCTGTTTAAAATATGCTAGCCATGATTAAGCTGATAAATTATTTGTAGTAATAAAATAGTCTTTAAGATTGGCATACTATCATCTCAAGAGATGCAAACATTTATTCCACTTTCAACTCATGTTAAATAACTTCACATTTAAAATAAATAATTGGTGCCTACCCCATAGTAACACATGTTGCTCTCATCAGAGGTTGTAGCAAAATTCTGACAGCACTGATGTGGAAGTAGCTACCCACTCTCCTGCTGAGAGTACTTACTGACTGCTTCTCGAGAAGTGACACCTAACTCAGTAGGGCTTGGCAGCAGACTTCCATAAATCTGAGGACATACCTGAGGATGCAAAATTTCATTCTCCTGGTTCTGGTACAGAAAAAGACAAAATTGCCCACAGTTTTTTCACACCCCCCCCCTCCATATATTCCAATGAGAAATACAGAAAAAAAAATTGTAAAATTTATTCACAATGTACAAGTTAAGATGAATAAAACAGCTGGCAATAGCATCTTGCCTCTGAGTTGGATTTATAAAAATATTAGTGAGCTCAATTTGCCATATTTTGCTATTTCATTTGGGGAATGATGAAGAGAGTCTTTTATAATTATAAAACTTGAGACTTCGATGTCATTTATCACAATATCGTCTGGAATTCTGAAAATGTTCTGTCAGGGATGACTTGGACATTTCAGGACTTGACATTTGAAGGAAGTTGGGTAACCGAATATCATAATGGTATCTTTTTCCTATGTATACCCTGTCATTCAAGGCATAGAGTTTATCTGCAATGTCACTGCCAATTAAAACCGAAAACAGGCGGGAGATATACCGATGCTGAGCCAAGAGCAAGTATAATTTCTTTCTCCTCCAAGACACATATCGACAATCAGTTTCTGCTGTGAGGGTTACCTAAAAAAACATATAAGACCACACATAAACAGAGATTAAGTGACAAGAAATGTTCTGTCTTTTTTTTTTTGGCCCCAAATTTTAAATGAATTTCTCATGCTGATTTTAACGTTAAAACCCACAATATATTGTAAAACATAGAGAAAGTACAAAATTTATTACTATATATGTAATTCATAACATGAATAATCACAGTGTTGTGCCCATCTCCAGTTCATCTGTTTCTAAGTTTAGATATCTATATTTTGCATTTTATTGAAGTGAGAGCTACTTGATATTAAAAAATAATAAAGTTGGCTAATGTTGGGGAAATATTTCCATGTCAGTCCTAAAGACTGTGGATATTTAACCCTAATACATTTTCTGTAGTACTGAATAGAATTAACCTGATCTACATATGTATATGATTCTCTATATATAAAACACACATGTATACACACATGTATGTTACATGTATTAACCAGAGGAAAACAAATGCCATAATAGAACCTACCGAAAAGATTATCTTTCAATACTACCCGATATGGCAGCATAGTAATGACATTTTGTTTAGCATTTTGTTGCTAGAAAACAACTGAAATTCATCACATTTTGAATTTTAAAAGTCACTTATTTTGTCATAAGGACAGATTTTCATTCTTGGTGTTTTTCTAAACTGTGACAGGTGGCAGTGTTTAGAGTCAAATATCGGTTGATTATATTTTAATTCCCATGTACTCAGTTAAGCAAAGGAAAATTTAAAAATTGATCACAGACTTCTTTCTGTCCTACGGGATACCCAATCTTCTCCTTGTTGCTGGACCTATAAAGTGACATTAATCAGTAAGACTCAAGCGGAATGGGGAAGACATGCATGCTACCAAGTGCATTACAAAGTTAAGTGAAATGACCCCGTGTCATCTGCTGCCCTGTTTGCTTGTCTGCCTGTTTTTAAACAAGCAGCGTTTATCTGTTTGAAAGAGGCAGCGTTCACGGTGTGGTCTAGTTATCCCTTACCTGAAAAGTGCCTTCCTCTGTGGGTTTCAGTGAGTCCCATTCAGGAGAATCCAGGAACTGGAAGGGGAAAATGTAATGCAGAAATTCTCCATCAACTGTCACTCTGATCCTACCCAGACACAAAGGACATCAGTCAGGAGGGAAGGAGAAAGAACTAAATTGGTGACAAGGGCAGGGAGCAGTATTTCTGATCTCTGATGATTCTTTTGGCTTTTAAAATCTTGAAGGGCAAAATATTAAATTCATACATTATAATAACTGACAAAAATCTGTAAAATTTATGTACTGCTGCTCCTCCCATAGTTATGATTCTGGAACGGTGGGTGAAATTCATCAGAAAATTCATCAAACTGCACATTGATATGTGCCCATTTAGGTGTGTATAATATATTACAATTACAAGTTTCAATGCACTCAGTCAGATTTTAAATTAAGTAGAACTCTGAAGAACATAAAGATGTGCCACTGGAAATAGCTCTGTAAACTAAATATTTACCCTTTTAAAAAACATGAATAATCACATTCCTATTTCTCCCCCAAACTTTTTTTCAAATTTTATATATAGTACACTTCCCCTTTGAGCAAGCGGGCATTTTCCAGAAATTACTGGAAAAAAAAATGATCATTATAAAATTTAAATGTTCTCTATTACTTAAAAGAATGCCCTAATAGGATGTTTCAAATACTTTGTATGCTAAATAACTATAAGTATTCTATTCATTCAAACTGGCATCATCTTTTTCTTGACTCTAAGTGATTAGTTTGGAAACAAATAGCATATCCAGACAAACCAATTCATACCTTTGATTTCTATGAAGAAATGTTAAGACTAAATTATATCCTGCTTCAAGTAAATGGTACCATGTATTCTAAATGCCTATGTAAATGATTCATGTTTAAAGGGTTTTCTCATGCCTCTGAATACTAAATGCTGCTGAGGATTATACTACGTTGAGATGGGAAAGTGCAGCAAAAAGAAACAAAAGCTAGTAAGTAATAAAGTGGAAAGCCACACAAACGCCAAGAGTACAAACCTTCCTGAGACAAGCAAGGAGAGTTTGTCAATGGAGGTTTTCCCCTGCATGGCATAGCAGTGCTCCTTTTCCAGGGTAACCACTTCTGAGCTCATAGCAATAGTTCTGAAGTCGGGCAAAGAGGTCCCCAGAGGCTGGAAGAGGGAGCTGTACAACAGCTGAAATTCTCGGGCAAAGGTTATGCTGTGGACTTGATAGGCAATGTGAACAAACCGTATGAAGCAGATGACAAACAGTATAAAATTCCAGGAAAATATGTCGGCTGCACAGACATCCACCCAAGCCCAGATAGCAGAACAGAGAAAGCCCAATCCCAGCAAACTGAAGACATAAAGAAGCCCAAAGAATCCACTGCCACCCATGAAACCTACTACAAATAAAACACTGGCCAGATGATAGACGGCTCCTTCAGCCTCCTCCTTCCAGATGGTGCAGACAGGGTGTTCATTGATTAGGTTCTTCCATAAACTTGAGTTTCCTTCCATGGCTGTAGTACTGTCTGGTTCACTGTTCAGTCGATAGTAAATATTATCAAAGCAAATAATTAAGTCCTTCGCTTTTCCATCATCAGAGTTGAGTCTTCACAAAACCAGAGAAAGCCCGGACACTGGAGCTGGGGTGATTACGGGTTTGGTGTTTGTGGATCTTGAAAAACTAAGAATCCCATGCTAGCATCCTTAAGTTCACCTGGGCTTCTGATTTAGTTCTAGCTGACAAATATGTTGTTGTTGCCTATGTAAGAAATAAAAACAGGATTCTAATTAAACAGAATTGAGAAGTGTATTTAATGAATCACCAGCATTTTACTTATTCAAGTTGACATCCTACTTTCTATGAAGTTAAAATATATTCAGCACAAATACTGAAAGTATTACATTTCTAGGATAGAAAAAAAATGCATATTTTCAAGTTAGGCTTAATTAAAAATAATTTACAGATATTTTAGTATTTGTTACAATTAGCTAACTATGTATTTTTTGAGAAAGTTAAGTGCTCTAATCAGCTGGTTGCTATAACAGTAATTCAGTGCACCTCAGAATCTTTCATGATAGTGACTAAAGATGCAGATTTATAGACTGTTTCCGGATATACTGAGTCAGAAATCTCTAAGGGTGGGGCCTTAATGTTGGTATTTTGAACAAGTTCCCTACATGATTCTGATGCATCAATTCATGTCTTCCATGGCCCACCCTTTTAGAGATGCTCTTTGACAACTTGTTACTCACTCTTTACAAATGAAGAATTTGAGGCTCAGAGAGACTAATTTATCCTAGGCCACATAGTGGTTGATGGCAGAGCAGAACTTCAGCACTTAAGCCAGCATGCTAGATCCAATCATGTGGTCTCTCATGAGAGAGATTTTAAAATAGTCACTGTAAGGAGCCCTAATCAGTAAATGTAAGAAACACACCATTAGGAGTCAGGTTTTAAGAGCACATGGTAGACTGTGAAAATGTTTAATTAGATCAAAATTATTTGAGAAATATAAATTCAGTTCTCCTTTACTGTACTAGAGGCTCTTTCAGGCTAAAGGTTGCATCTATATAACTAAATAAATAATATTAAAGTTCCTGCTACTTACACATTTATTTGCCAGATGGTCAAAAATGTTAGTGACTAGTTCCTCTGCACATATATTCTCTACCCTTTCAGCCATATGGTAAAAATGCTAATATGTGATCTCATTCAGGAGAGATTTAACCATGATGACAGAGCTGAAGGATATATATCATTTATCACCAAGTTTCTTAACGATAAATGGTTTCAAGATGAAGCATTCATTGGATTGATTTTTTTGAAACCAAAATAACATTCAAGAACTTTGAACTTGTGTGCTATATTGTTTTTATTTTGAGATAGATTTTTTTACAGAACACTTGGTAATAAAATATCAAATAACATAGATCTAGTCTCATAGAAAAAAAGTACCTACAGAGGTGAAAATGACTTAGCTGAAATAAAAAAAGGAACAGCATTTTACTACCAACAGAACTAGAGATGAAAATAAAGAAGCTGCTGCTGCTCAAATTCCTGGTTTTTCATCCTGCATAGTGATTCTCTTCTCAGCAAGGAATGACTTTAAGAACATCACCAGGTGAATCATTAAAACAGGAAAAAATAACACAGACCTATAATTTATGACTGTATTATTTCTACTTATGCTGTTTTCAAGTACAAACATCCTGCATCCCTCTAATTATCACTCCATCCATCCCTCTGTGAGGGATGAGACTCAAGGCCAGACTGGCACTCTGAACATGTTTCCTTTCTCTTCTTTAAACAAAACCCAAAGTTATATTATCACTGCATATTCACAACAAAGAAACAATTTTTAAAAATACAATGAGTAGTTAAGAAGTGTGAATATGCAGACCGCAAATGTCAGTCTCCCTGCTGTTTTACTTTGAAAACTCAAGTATTTTAAGTTAATTCCTCAAGATGCCAAGCAAATAGCCACAAAAGCAATATTAAAAAGCACTACCAGTGGAGCTCTGAACTTGGATTTGAACTTCCTGGAAATTTTAAATCCTCAACAAACTGCGAAAATGATGCTAATGTGAAACGTTTCTGGCAATTCAGAAGGGAGTTTATTGGAATCCTACCCCTTAAACTCTTGATTTGGGGAATAATATACTGGGCCACCTGCATTCCTGGAGTGTGACCCATTATAATTATATGAGGAACTGTGTTTCCAGCCCTTTCCAGTCAGCCTGTGTTTCAATAAGCTGCTACCAAACCACCCTCCTACCCTTGATCCTGTATCACTCAGCAGAGTGCTGACTTGCCCTGATTAGATTACTCCACACCCAGGCTTTCTCCGCTTGGTGTGTTTTCATTCAGTCACCAAAACAGATGTACTTTATTAGAAGAGGAAGAATTGACAGGGGCAGGTGACAGCCCAAGTGTTCCTCGGCCATGTGCCAGCAGCACTGTATGAATGCCGAACACGACTCATCAGCCAGCCGCTGATGTCAAAGGCCTCTAGGCCTTAAGTCATGTTTTGGGGTAAATAAATGCTGACGTGCCAAAGGAGCACAATGGATTTCTTAAGTAGTTGATCTTCCCTGCAAAAGAAGTTAACACTTGGGGATACAAAGTGCAAATAAACAAAATATTTCCAAGCTTTTCCCCTTTTTACTCTTTACACTGTCAGAGCCTGAGTTCAAAGGAATAAGGAAATGTAAAGGCAGACACAAGAATGCTCAACTAAATGTGATATAAGTTGGGTGGCACAGGGATGAAGATTAACTTGAAATGGCAGTTATGGGCTCAGGACATGTACATTTATTTTTTTTTCCATGTACATTTATTATCTCACAGCATCACACTTACTGCCATGAGGCAGTATCTAAACCATCATGCTCAGCTTACAAATGAGAAAGGTGGAGCCCAAGGCAGGTTAAGTAACTTGCTTCAGGTAAAAGTCACAGTAAGCCACAAAGCTGGAAGTCCAAGTCTTCTTCCACTCAGCTTCATGCTCTCCCCAGCAGGCAGTGTGTCTTTCAAGGCTGTAGATCTGATTTAATGTGTTGGGAGACCAGTTGAATATTCTGCCAGGACGGTTTGCCAGGAAAATAATAATCCTAACAGTGGATATTTGAGACAGGCTATATCCGCTTGTCCAGTTCAGTCCATAATGCTTAGAATACTACCAGGGACACAGACATAGAAAGCCACTCATGAAACCATCTGCTGGATTACTGTTCAACACTGACTCATTTCCTCTTCTTGATTCCAAAATTATTAAGGGGCAAAAACAAATGTTTTTGTATTTCAGACCCTTGGCACTCAGGGAATGTGGATTGAACACACTGATATAGAGGAACAAGTCCTCTCTGCCTTTTCCATCCTCACTCTATCCAGGTCAACAGATGTTCTAACATCTTCTGTCGCCTAGGGGAACAGAAGTGGAGGCCTTCTTGACTGAGGGGTTAGGACATCACTTATTTAAGATGTCTGGCACAACTCCAAATTCATAGGAGAATCCTTCTGTCTTCTTACAATGTTCAGTTCCTTAAGAGCAGCTGAATTCCTGATTTCATTAAAACAGCTCTGGTAGCTTGTGGTATTATGTTAGTTGTGGTTGCTTGGCAACCTAGAAGATCATAATTCTATCAATATTATCCTCATTAATTGGCATCATATCCCAACTGTGGTATGTGTTACATATGGAGAAGATAGTTTTCTCTACTTAAACCTTTAAGTATGTATACTTAGCAACTATGTGCCAGACATTTAAAAAATTATTTAATCTGCACAACAACCCCATGAGGAAGGTACTATTATCTCCATTGTACAGATGAGAAAATTGAAACTCAGAGAAGGCAAGTAAATTGTACAAAGTCACCACACTGTTCATATTGGAACTAAGATTCCATCCAGGTCTGTCTGACTCTGAAACTCACTGTCTCAACCATATCATTCTGCTTCCACAGTACCAGGATTTAGAAAATGTAGACTTTAGTTTCCTCCTTGCTACTTAGATGAACTTAGACATATTTATTCATCCGTAAAGCAGAGGTAATGTCACCTATTGTGTCTACTTTAAAGGGTACTGGAACATTCAAATGAGAAAATCTATACTAAAAATTCTTAGCAGATTTTATTCTTTTAATTTTTTAGTCTTTGGGGAGCATTTATCTTATTTTTTTATTTTTATTGGAGTATAGCTGTTTTACAGTGTCGTGTTACTTTCTTCTGTACAGCAAAGTGAATCAGCCATGTTTTTGTTCAGGCACCCAGTCATATCCAACTCTTTGTGACCCCATGGACTGCAGCACACCAGGCCTTCCTGTCCCCGACCATCTCCTGAAGCTTGCCCAAGTTCATGTTCGTTGCATTGGTGATGCCATCCAGCCATCTCATCCTCTGACGCCCTCTTCTCCTTCTGCCCTCAATCTTTCCCAGTATCAGGAAGAGGAATCAGCTCTGTGTGTACATATAAGTCCCTCTTTTTCTGGATTTCCTTCCCATTTAGACCACCACAGAGCAGTAGGTAGAGTTCCCTGGGCCACACAGTAGGTTCTCATTAGTAACCTGTTCTATACACAGTCGTGTATACATGTCAATCCCAGTCTCCCAATTCACTGCACCCCTCCCTCCCTTGGTATCTATCCATTTGTCTTCTGCATCTGTGTCTCCATTTCTGCTTTGTAACTACAGATTCCACATACATGTATTAATAGTTTTTTCTCATTCTGACTGACTTCACTCTGTATGACAGTCTCTAGGCCCATCCATGTATCTGCAAATGACCCAATTTCATTCCTTTTTATGGCTGAATAGTATGCCACTGTATATACATACCACATCTTTATCTATTCCTCTGTTGATGGCCATTTAGGCTGTTTCCATATCCAGGCTGTTGTAAATAGTGCTGCAGTGAACACTGGGTGCACGTGTCTCTGAATTACAGTTTTCTCTGGGTATATTCCAGTAGTAGAATTGTTGGATCACATGGAAGTTCTATTTTTAGTTTTTAAGTAACCTCCATACTGTTCTCCATAGTGGTTCCACCAATTTATTAATACATTCTTATCAATAGTGCAAGAGCATTCCCTTTTCTCCATACCCTCTCCAGCATTTATTGTTTGTAGATTTTGTGATGTTGGCCATTTGGACAGGTGTGAATTGATATTTCATTGTAGTTTTGATTTGCATTTCTCTAATAATTATTGATATTGAGCATCTTTTTATGTGTTTGTTGGCCATCTGTATGGCCATCTCATCTTTGAAGAAATGTCTGTTTAGGTCTTCTGCCCATTTTTTATTCAGTTGGTTTTTTTTTTTTTATATTGAGCAGATTTTTAAATAACAGAGAAATGGCATTGCTGTACTTGTTGCTTGTTTGCTACAGAGCTGAGCCATTTGAAGATATAGATTTTAAAAGCTTTCTTCAGAGGATTTCAATAGAAGACAAACCATCCTTATGTTGTAAACTCTAAACTTACTTATTCCTGCAGGAGTGATCTGTCTTATTCTTTCCTATCTTGTGTCCTGACCACCTAAGGCTGATAGTTATCGACCCAGAACTAACCTATCCTTGAGTAAAGAAACCAGTCTCTGGAAGCCAATAACAATCGGAATCACCCAGGGACTTGTTAAAATGCCCCTTCCCTGGCCCCACCCCAGAATAACTGAGCCAGGGACGGACCCAGACAGATGGATTTCTAATAGGCTCTCAGTTGATTTTTTTTAAACTTTTTATTTTGTTTTGGGGTATAGCTGATTAACAATGTTTTGACAGTTTCAGATGAACAGCAAAGGGAACTCAGCCATACATACACAGGTATCCATTCAGTTTGAGAGCCATTATTTCATCTTGTGTTCCTGGATTATCCTTGCTTAAAGAGCCTCAGCTTTGTCCATTCCTGGTTGCCAGCTGGCTGTCCTTCCAGGCTGGTTACTCTATGTGATGTCCTCTGATCCTTCATTGTCTGTCCACAGCTGTAGTCCCAGTGTTGGGTCTACCATTCTTCTGTCTGGTCTGTCCAGTTGGTATTACTACTTAAGAGAAAGGTGTCAGTCTTAGCTGTGTCCCTAAACAGCGTGTGATTAATTTATTTATTGTCTGTGCTGCGCTTTCTCTAGTTGTGGCCTGCGGGCTTCTTATTGCAGTGGCTTCTCTTGCTGTGGAGCACGGGCTCTAGGTGTGCGGTCTTAGTAGTTGTGGCATACAGACTTAGTTGTCCTGCAGCATGTGGGATCCTCCCAGACCAGGGATCGAACATGTGTCCCCTGCATTGGCAGGAGGATTCTTAACCACCGTAACATCAAGGAAGTCCCACGGTGTGAGATTTTAATCTTCCCAGCCTGTTTCCTCATTGATAAAATGAAAGATTTGGACAACTAATGTGCAGCTCCTTTCAGCTCTACAATAACACCACTTTCTATGATATGGAGTTCAAAGTTATTCCATAGCCCAGGTCAAAATATAGAGCAGAGGGGCAGAAGTGAATTATGACTGCACATCTTCACACCAGGTTTGTGACTGGGGCCCTGCTCTGGAAATTTTTAATCATTTAAGGACTATAGTGGGACCCAGGCACTGGCATTTTTTTCACAGACTTCCCATTGGTTTTGTTGTGCAACCAGGGTTAAGAACTTTTAGGGGGTTGGGGTAAGAGACACTAGGACATTCTATAGACTGAAGGATCTGGATTTTAATCCTTATTTTTCAGGGCTAGAAAGGCACATTTTCTCTTGTGTTTCTCACTTCCATGCTTTGCTCAGGTCAGGAGGCATTTTCTTCCTCACACTCATCTCTGAGGGGGCTCAGGGTCTGCATGTTCTACATCCGCCTTTCCTTAACATGGAGGCTGAAGTGCACCTTCTAGGCTCTGAACTTTTATGGTCTTTACTATCTGTCTACATGGCTTCCACTGTATATTATATTGACCATAATATGTATTTTCCATTTAATTTTTTTTAAAGTATGTATTTATTTGGCTGTACCGGGTCTTAGTTGTGGCATGTGGGATCTTTTTTAGTTGAGGCATGTGAAATCCTTAGTTGCAGCATGTGGATTCTAGTTCCCTGACCAGGGATCAAACCCGGGTCCCCTGCATCAGGAGCTCAGAGTTTTAACCACTAGACCAATAAAGCCTCTGTTTTCATTTTTAAAACATCATAATTTGTTTATTCTTTCAGTTGTGGTACATGTTTAAGTAATATTTTAAAGAATCTAATGTAGATAGTGTGTATACTTTTAAATATTGGCTTTATTAATTGGTCATTTATATATGTATATATATTATATAAATAGTGTTCATGTAGAAAAACAATGTTTAGAATATAGTTTTGGAACAAGCAGGTTAATAGCCAGGAAGCCCAAGTGAGAGATGATCAATACCCAAATCAACGAGTTAGGTGTTGGACAAAGAAAGAAAGAAAAGCATATATCATATTAACTATGAAGAAGAAATGAAAGGAAGACATGTCTCTGCTGAGACAGAAGAACAGAGAAGGGATGAAGACGCTTTGGAGTTATAAGAGATCCTGAAGCTTGGAAAGAAATCAGAGGCAGTGAGGGGACCAGGGGACTCGCTTTGAGTCATGTTTAACCTGATGCAACAGGTCTAGCAACAGAGTTCACAGCAGAAGATCAGGTGCAGGATGGAGGCATACTTAACAGTTGTTCTAAATGACACAGGACAACACTGAATAAGGATTGGAGCTGATGAGATTATCTAGAAAGTGAGTACAAAGAGAAATGAGAGTTGAAGGTAAATCCCATGACCAGAAGCCTTGGAACTCTAGGGTTGTGCTGGCACTGCAGGATCCATCAGCCACACGTGACCACTGAGCCCCTGAAATGTGACTGGTCTGAAGCAAGATGCGTTGGTTTCAATGGATTTCAGA